TCCACACCCCACCACCCAAGCACAAGGTTCCAAGTTCGATCCCCAGTACCAAAAAAAAAAAAGAACTATTGTTCAGCGCCCCTAATAATCTGTAAAACAGTGAGCTACCATCACTCTCCTCAACCCAAGGCTCACAGAGCAGGCTCATGGCCAGCACCTTGAAGCCCGACCTCGCAAACGCAGCGACACGGGCCCCGGAAGCTCTGCCTGGCCAGCTCGTCTTCCTCTGGTCCTCCTGAGCCTGCACCTTCCCACATCAGCCACCAGAGGGCTGTCAAGCTCAACACTGGGCTGAGCTTGGGGAGGCCCCAGGTTTTCCTGAAAACCTCCCATCCCAAGCCATGGTGCGCTGACTGTGAACATCCCGCCACAGGATCCCCTCATCACACCAGCCAGCACCTCACAGCAACCTCTTACGCACACCTGCGACAGGCCAGGGGCTGTGCGGTCACCTGTCTCACCTCAGGACATCCTCCAAAGACTGCATTAGGTCCCCACGTCCACTCACAGGTGACAAAACCCAGGCACGGAAATGGAGAATGTGTGGCGAGAGTCAAAAGGCCAGGTTTCCAAGCCGGGTCAGCCCGACAGGCTCTGTGCCTGACACGTGGGTTCATGAGACAAAGGACAACCAGAGGATTAAGCACAGCAGCAAGCATGATTTGGAGGACTGCACTAAGAACCAGCCAGGAACACTGCTCTGACTGCAGGCGACAGGAACAGAGGCAGTGTGTCTCAGCTGGGGAGGGCAGCGGTCATCCCAGAGCCCCACATGCAGTCTTGGGTGGCACCTTAGGCGCCACGCGGTGACCTTGAGCACTGCTGGAGGAGAGGACTGAAGGGAGGGCGAGCTCCCGTGAGGAACGGCTCAGGGAAGCAGGCACGGGGTCACTGCTGCAGAAGGGAGGGCTTGCAGTCGTGTCTCAAGGCTTTCTAGAAAGGGCAAACGTCCATCCAGGAACCAGAGCGCAGGCGGGAAGAGGGCGCGACCGTGTCCCGCACAGGCAGGCGTGCAGTGGGCTCGGCAGGTAGTTCGCCAGTCCTACTGCAAAGCAGGGTCCGGCGCCCACCACACTACCCGGGCACCACAGCCAGGACGGGAGGGCATCCCTGCGGCTACGGCGGACAGCGGCCAAAGGCACCGAAGGCCTGGCTGGAACGTGCCTGGAATCCCAGCACT